CGCTGGCATGTTAACATTGGCACTCATCCAGGTCTCACTCCTGCGTTATACCAGCAGCTGTATTACTGACTCACTCTGCTGGTAGTGACCACACAGCCTGACTTGTGCTCTGTAGCCAGCGATGTTTGGACTGCGTTCAGCATGTCAACAAAGGGATGCAAATGTCTCCTAAAAACAACACACACATGGCTTTTCCTCTCCATATGCCCACTTCTGGCTCTACGCCTCCGTCACAACCCCCTGTCCATGTGCAGCAATGGGAAGAAATCCCATAGCTTGCTCAGTCAGGTCTATCGTGCGAGCAGTGGTACGTCCCTTCCCTTCCCCTAATAATTAATTAGGCATCAATGTCTCCTTCAAGGCAACAGGAGGTCAGCCAGGAAGGTTTAGCTCCAAACTCATAGTCAGAAAACATTATTCACTAGGAGGTGAGGAGAAACAATAGGGTAAAAGAAAACTTGGCAGAACTCAGAAAGCCTTTGGAAGAAGAATAGTCATAAGAACATAAATGTTCAACTAACCAGGCGTCTGCCAGGAAAATTGCCACAAAATGAACAGGGTAGAGGGGCAGATCTGCCCTTGGTCCCAGCACTGAGGGTACAGGAAAGGTGCAGCTAGGGCTCCACCTTGGCAACTTCTCTTCTTCATGAACGTCAGGCTAGCTCCACAGAACAGGCGCTGCATACTAATTCTGGGTTAAAATTTGATGATCTTCACTCAGGCCAAGCTCCCATTGAAATCTGGCTCTATTTGGACATCATGCTGTCCAGAGGTAGAGATAGTGAAGGCATTTCAGTGGTTGAAATGTGAAGTCTGTGCTCTGGGATATATGAAAGACAAGAAAAAGTTCACTCTGCAGCACTTGCTATCACAAAAATACATACGCCTGTATGCTTGAGCCAGACTAAAGAGCATCAGGCAGCAAAGGAGTATCTTGAAGGGTGTTAGTAGGACGAGTTATTACACTGCTAAGCAGAACCATTTCCTGTCAGCCATTCCCGTTCCTTGCCTCCTCCTTGTTCCCTTGGCACACAATTATTTGCAGTTGCTCTCCCACCACGAGATATGGGCAGATTATGTCCAGAAACCAAAGTCTGAGCAAGAGGCAGCCTGTCTTGAATGTCCAAACAAAGTAGATGACAACACAGCCCTGGGGAAGAAGGCGAGTGCAAACAAACAGATCAGAGCGATTAATTTCTCTCCAAGACAGGCCTATCACTGGCCGTTAAAAGCCATAGCAATGCCCCCTTGGATGGGACCTTCCAGCCCAGCTCTCTGCTGCCGCTGCGATGGGAGAGGCTGATGAGGGAGAGCGTCAGCCCACCACCTCTTTGCCATCTCTGTGTCCCCAAGGTCCAGAGGCGTCCTGGTAGGAATAGCATGCCTGCCTAGTCCGCCAAGTGTCTGCTGGTGAACCATTATCCGTTACCTTGACCCCTTTCGAACCTGCTGCTGCCATCAGATGCCGATGGCTGAGTGGGGCAGGAGGGCTGGTGGTGCAAGGAGACATGCCTTCTCGCGGGGCTAAACACGTGCTGTTTGTCAGATACCTCATCCATGAGAAACAGTAATTCTTTCACATTTCCCCTCTACTGTTTTTTTGCAGAAATCATGTATGGAGTAAACTGTTCCCACCAATTCCAACACCCAGCCACAAATTCAGAGATTTTCCCTTCCCAAATGACTACGAGGTAAAGTAACATTTTATGCACTCTTTTTGCGTTTTGTTGACTAGAAGGGATGCGTGTGTGTGTGTGCTGCTCCTTCCCTGTAAGACTGGGAATATATTGCTTGTTATTGATCAGTTAAAGCCTTTTGACCTCTTAGAATTTCTAATGTCCGTATTAAATGTGGGCTACATTGTCAAATGCGTTGTGCAGAACATGCCAAGCGGGAAATTCGTGGGTGCAGTTAATGTAACGATACGCACAGCCCTGACTATGAGTATAACATTGAGGTAGCCATCAGATTTGGCAAGTTGTGAGGCTGTTCTTGCAATCGTAACTGCTGTGGTCGGTTCCCACCCGGCGTGTGGCCACCTCCTCTGCCGAAGACAGGTCCCAGTTGGCAGTAGCTCTGAATCTGGCCTTGTTTGTAGATGAAGTGTTTTCGGGAGGGTTAAAACCAAACAAAAATAACACAAAATCAGAAAGAGCTATTTCAGTGCATTGGGTTGGAGGAAGGATTAAGAGCTACTGTGGAGTGCTTTTCTAATATGCAACTAATTTCAGGCACACGGTGCCGTACCTACGGTTCTGCCTTTTGTACGGGAAGGCAACGCGGTTGCTCCTTCCACCGGGCACAGCCAAGCAGATTGCTCTGCCCTGGCAGGGGCTGCAGGTTGACTCCTGGAGAGCTGATTTATATTGTGAAACCTAACAATGGGAAATGTTTTGGTCCGAGTGTTAAGCTGGTCTTAAGCCTTATTATGCATGCTGTTACTTCCTGATAAATACATTTGCCTTACAGATAAGATGAAATTCCTCATTGTCTGCTCAAGGGAAGTGCTGCTCAGTAACGTGATTTTAATTTGTCCCCTTGGAATAAGGGTTTGATTTTTTTGGGTATTGTTCTTTCTTATTCCATGGTCTGGGCAAGGAAACAGGCTTAAAAGATTATCATATAATGTTTGTTTTTAATTAAAGTCACTGGTGTAAAATAACATGACTTAGGGTATCACAAATAAGAATACGAGAAATAGCAAATATTAACACTACAGCTAGAAATTGTGAGCTTACAAAGGCTGGGTCACATTATCAAAAGCAGCACTGCCTTGTGTCGAGTTGTCTCTTTATTTAAAGTGAGCTTGGTGAGAGCACCCGGACAAGTGATGCGCCGGCAGCTGTTTGCTGTGGGTGCAGTTCCTGAGTTCACGGCGTAAACAGCGGGGCGAGGTGATGAAAGCCCATGGGAACCGCGCTCGGCCCCGGGGAGCAGCCCGGTCTCCCGCCGCCCTGCGGGCGTGCCAGCCGCTGAACTTCAGCGTTCTGCTTCCTTCTGCGGGTCACCCCGTCCCTGCACGCTTGCTTGCGCAACTCTGCTCAGTACCGGTGGGTCAGGGTCTGGCCCCACGCAGGGGCTTCACTGCTGGTGATTCAGAAGAATTCACGTGCCTCGTAACGTGCCCTCCAGCTCCTGCCTTGGCTACAGAGGCTGTCTGGTGGGTCACTGTGGTCAACTGTGTTGTGCAGAGCCTGCCAAATGGGGAATTTGTGGGTGCAGGGGGCTGCTGGCCCAGGTGGCAAGCAGCCCCCCCGAGAAATGAATTGGGAATTAAATTTTGGTTGAAAGTCTTACCCAATGTGCTCTCTCCGCTCTTACGAAACATTTTGGGTGAATCCCTCTTTACATGCACCAACTTGAAACATGGTGTTTTGCAAAACATGTAGTTAAATGAGGGCTTTGCAGCATTTCTTTGATAATGAATATTCAACACAGGCTTAAAACGATATGTCGTGAGTCCTCTCGCTTAATTCGTGCCATTTAGTTGAAAACCTCCGTTTACCTCCCAGCTCGCCAGCTAAAAGTGGCGTTTGCTTTCCAGAGAGCACGTACCTACACCAGCGAGTCGGAG